AAATCCAGGGTCAGAGCCAGCCAAGACAAGAGGAGAAGAGAAATGGTCAGTGTGAGGCATACAGTGGGCCCTCAATACCTATTTGTGGAACGGAGAAGGGAGGGAATCATAGAGGGGTGAAGGATGGGTCCTGTGCATGTGTCCTCCACAGAGCATGGGTGTTGCCAGCTCACTTTTCTGGCTGTCTGTTTCCTGGTAGAAGAGCATGCCATGCCGTCTTGATGGTCGGGACTGGCCCGGAATACCATCCAGACCGGCATTCTTCCTATTACTTAGTGGAACTCTCCAATCTTCTGGAAGAGGGGAATTTGAGTATCACATCCATTTGAGAGCTTTGAAATTAATGCATTTGAAATCATAAAATATAGCTACTTTGGGTGAGGATGAAGAAAGTTGGCACCTAAGATCTCTGAGGCATCTATTTCCTCCCAAGTACCATGCTACGTATGTGACATGTATTAAATAAGGTCCTGTGAAACAACACATCCACTCAGGCCAGCCGGTATTGTTATTCTCATCTACCAGACGAAGCTGAGGCTGAAAGTCAAGGGGTACTCCTACCCACAGTCCCACAACCACAGCAAGGAGGAATGTGGTCTGCTTGGAAAGGCATGGAGTGGGCCCACTCACTGGAGCCATAAAAACAAGACTGGGTTACTTTTGATCTCCTGTCTTGGAAGAGGCAAGGGCAGCTTTCGGGAAGACCTGGGGCCTCGATTCTACCATGCCAAGCCAGCATTGCCCAAGGATGGGCCAATGTCCAGGGAAGTCCGAAATGCCAGTATCCTGTCTCACTGTCTGGCACTGGACACAGGAAGCTGGACTCAAGGCAGTATCTGGACTTGTGTAGGAGGATGCCACAAACCATCTGACACACAGCACACCTCCCCAAAGAATAGCTCCCAGGCCATTCTCAGACGGGCCGTCCTGGTTCCAAATAAGCACGTGTATTTTTAGTTATTCGTTCATGCACTCAGCAACAATTTACTGGGTGCTTCCGAGGCACAGAGTTGGCAGGCACCAGGGATACAGAGAATAATTTGACCCAGTTCCTGGCCCCTGCGGCACATCAGTTTAATGATGACATGTAAACAAACGCCCACGATGGAGGGTGGGTGCTCTGATTGAGTTATTTATGCCACGGCGTGAAGTCGAGGCATGACTACTTTCTGTGGAACAGTCGGGGAAACAGTCCTAGTATGAGTTCATTCATTCACTGCCTCACACTTGAATAAGCTAATTCACTAATTTATTGACTCATTCACTTATTCACTTACTCATTCCCATAGCTAATTTATTCCTTGATTACATACTCATTCACTGACTCATTTGCTCCCTCACTAATTCACTTTTTTATTCATTAACTGTAATATATCCAACACTCATCTATCCCTCCATTTATTCACTCAGTAATTTGTTTCATTTACTGACTCATTTATTTACCCAGTTCATTTATTCAATTGTTTCCTCTTTCTTTAATGTATTCATTTGTAAACTCACTCATTCCTAGACTTACTAATTCATTCATTTGGTTCGTCATTGAGTCATTAACTCATTGATTGGTTCATACATTGGCTCACCCATTCATTTATTTCCTCATTGCTAATTGACTTTCATTTATCTGTTAATTCATAAATTCATTCAGGAATCCATGGATCCACTGATTCACTCACCCATTTACACATTGGTCTTTCATTTCTTGACTCCTTGACCTACGAGTCTTCCATTCATTCACTCACTGACTTAGTCTTTCATCATCCACTCATTCGCTTTGTGACATTTTTTCTTGCACATGAACTCATCCACTCATTAACTCACCATGCATTTATCCACTAATCACTGATTCAGTTATTTATGCACCCATTGCTGATCCATTCACTCACTGTGTACTCCTTCACATTTTCATTACCTCACTTATCCATTCCTTTATTTACTCCAAGACTCACTTGTTCATGTACTGCTTCCCTCCTCCATTCTTTTATTCACCATGTATTCACCTATTTATTCAACAGATGATTACTGCATGTGCTCTCCATGTCAGGCACAAGGGGCAGAGCAGTGAAGGAGAGGAGTGTGGTCCCCAGCTTTGCAGAGCTACAGACTAGTGAGTCTGTTACTGGCTCAGGAGCCATCTCTTCCACAACTCACCTGACACTAAGATTGAGCTGAAGGCACACGTTCTGTGCTTCTAGAAAGCCCATCTACCTGCCCTATTTTATAAAATTGCTGTATTTATAAGTGGGTCTCCATCTAATCTCACAGAGAGCCCATCTGCCTGCCCTATTCTGTTGAATGGCCAAATTTATAAGTGGGTCTCAGGCCAGGCACAGAGGCTCACACCTGTAATCCCAGCACTTTGGGAGGCTGAGGCAGGCAGATCACGTGGTCAAGAGATCGAGACCACCCTAGCCAACATGGTGAAACCCACATCTCTACCGAAAAAAAATACGAAAATCAGATGGGCATGGTGGTGGTGTGCCTGTAGTCCCAGCTACTCAGGAGGCTGAGGCAGGAGAATTGCTTGAACCCGGGAGGCAGAGGTTGCAGTGAGCCAAGATCACGCCACTGCACTCCAGCCTGGTGACAGAGCAAGACTCCATCTCAAAATAATAATAATAATAAAAAGAAGAAGAAGAAGAAGAAGAGGAAAAAGAAGAAGAGGAGGAGGGGGGGGAAGAGGAGGAGGAGGAGGAAGAAGAAGAGGAAGAGGAAGAGGAAGAAGAAGAGGAAGAGGAAGAAGAAGAAGAAGAAAGAGAAGACGGTCTCCATCTAACCTCACAGAGCCACTTGGTGAGTGGAACTAGACCAAAGTCATATATAAATGCCACTCCTGACATGAGGTCTGACAAGAATTAGCATCATAAATGTTGAGCTGAAATTAATACCTTAATATTAGTTACTTTAGTACTCTCTCAGATATTAGCTGCCAGAAAATACTAAAATATGGGATATAGGGGTCTCCTACCACCACCTCCAAATAAATCAACTCACTAGAATTTGTAACTGAGATAGTGAAAAAAAAATCAATGTAAGTAGCATGCAAAAATGTCTAAAATATATCCATAGTACATGCAGAATGGCACTATATACTATTAAAATAAAGATATAAAAGATTAAGGTTTCATTTCATAAAAGTTCATGGTGCAGAACTGAAATACTTATAATCTTCGTTTCAAAACACATTTTAATCACTGGTTCATTATTTGCCCTCTTTTAATTTACTTTTTCAAAGATTTATTTTCTTAATCATAATAATCAAATCCATGAACCAAAATACAAAAACAAGAACACTGAACATTTTAATACCTGTCTCTGACCTCATTATACACAGAGACAACAGATTGAATCTTTTCTGTTAAATGGATTTCAGAGAAGCAAAATTGTGTTGATCATAATTCTTGCTTCATGAAATGTTATCATTTAATATTCTTGGCCATTCTAGCTTTTTTGTTGTTCATGTTAGTTACTCATTTTCAAAAACAAAGTCAACAACAAAGAATCTACTCCCCAAGGAAGCAGGGAGAAATTGACTATTATTTAAATCTTTCCATTATCTCCTCAAGCAGAGGTAAAACAGTTAACCCAGGTTAAACAAATCTTTGTTTTATAATATAATCTCCCAACTGGTCATGAGTGGCCGTTGTAATTTTACTAGCATAAATACTTTGTACTTGTTTAACTATTTATTATTTATAACAAAATAATAAAACTCAAGAAAACCACAACTAACCCAAGAACAAGATCTTTGACCAAGGCTAGACTCTGTCTATAAGCTCCTTAATCTAAGAGGTAGCAAACCAAGCCTCTTTTTAAATGGGTCTCATTTTGCAAAATGAGTTATCCATGACACTTGGCAGGTACATTCTTATCATTGGTTCAGGCATGGTCTTTTTGGACTTAATGATTGCATGAAGTCATTTCTTCTTTTAAAATAATAAATCATCATCATCTGTAACAAAAAGGCCAAACTAAGAATAAACTCTTAATCTGACTTGCCCTGTTCTACACACTCCTTGGCCACATGGGTAACAGTCAAGGTCTCCATCCTTCAGATAATTATTAAAACAGCCAAGTTACATCCATTCCGTAGGGGTACAAAGCAGATTCAGAAAATAATGAAATACCCTTATCATTGGTTCATACTTGGCACTTATTTATTTAGTTAACCAGGTATTTGTTTAATTTTAACTTTTTTTGTCTTAATGAATCAAACATCCAGGAACCCACAGCAAACTAAGAACAGAACATCGACTGTTAAATGTCTCTATCTAGATGCTTGTTACACAAAGTGGTGGCAAATTTAATCTGTTTTCTTTTTCTTGACGGACCAAGGTATTTCGGAACTGAATTAATTACATTCCTTGCTTTACAACATACCCTCAGAATCGGTCCATGTCTTAACCTCTTTTTCTTTACTCATGAATATACTTGTTTGTTGATCCATTCACTTATCCGCTAATCATATAAAATTAGTATCTGTGAACCCTCTCAAGCTCCAGTACTACATTCTCAAATTTTCCTGACATTATTCCCACAAAGGTTTACATACTAGTTCTTTCTTTTGCAATGGACCTCAGTTGTTCACAAAATGATTGATCATAGTTTTCATTCAGATGCATTCCATTCACATCACTGGTCCAGACATGGCCCCTCTACATTTAATTTGAACAACTTTTAGACATCACAATGAACAAGAAGGAACCACCATCTTACTCAGCAACTAGAATACTGACTCCATAAATGAGTAACAGCCTTTATCAAGAGGAAAGTCTTTAATAATCAATGAGACAAACATACAATGTGACATTTAACTATTGAAAATGAATGGAAAAGCTAAGTTTTTTTTTTCTCATACTGCGTTTGTTGTAAATTGGATTAATTTCAGTTCATAACACATTCTCATCATAGGCCTATGCATGGCCTTTTAAAATTTAATTATCTTTTTAAATGACAGTTGAAATTGTGAACTAACAATCCAAGCCAAGAACTTTATTACTTACATTGCAAGACATTCTCCTTAGTCAGAGGGCTGAAGTTCCTCATCACAGGGAATAATTAAATCAGCTCTGATCTGTCCATCCTGTAGATGATATTACCAAAGGAAAAAGGATATTACCAAATGAAAAGACCTAGATTTAGGTTTCGATTTCGTGAACAGGAAGTAACCGTCACAGAAATTGATCACAAACAATGATTTATTCCACGTTCTTATCTCCAGCTCTTAAATGGAGCTCCATCTTATTAATTAACGTATGATTCATTTTAATAACATTAATAATACACTTAAATGAACCACCCAACATAAAAACTATGAGAGTTACACACATATGACTCCATATTCCATACCCACCGAGCTAAAAATGTAGAGCTCCTCTTTTAAAAAGGGCCTCTGTTGTGCAAAACTGTAGTCACCATGAACCTTGATTTACAATACAGTCTTATCATTGGTCCTTACATAGCCTTCATTGATTATATTCTGTATTTTTTTATCATACACTAAATACCCTAAACATACCACCCCAACAATGACAAGAGCTTGCATTGTTACTCACACTGAACCATCTTCATCATTACAGAATCATTGTTGGCTTGAGTGTGTTCATACTATGGAGCTGAAAGCGATGGCAAAGAAAGGAAAAATAAATATGCATTATTTTATACCTTTAAAAATTTATACAAAAAATATGCAGGAATATCTCTTACCAAAAAAGGAGTGGAAATATCAAAAGTTCTCTCAATTGATCCTATGTTTCCCTCCTTGATTTCTTTAGCTATTTATAATCAGGTATTGATAATTTGTGAAATTATTTATTTGTTTCTCTTAACAAAGCAGACAAACTTGAACTCACCACTCTCCCATGGCAAAAACATTGACTATTACCATTCTTTGTCTATATGATCCTCAAGCAAAGAAGAAACATTCCTGATTTATTAATTTAATTCATAAAACTCAGTGTTTGGAGATATTAAAAATATATAATTGCACAGATGTTCTTATTGGACTCATTCTAATTATTGATGTGTAACATATTCTCATCCCTGATCTTCTTTAATTTTGTGTATAGATGTAGTAATTTATTCATTCTTTTATAATACAATGGATACCTATGACTAAACACGCCACCCAACCCAAGGACAAGAACATCGTGCATTACTTGTATAGGTCGGTACCCTTCTTTCCCAGAGACTTACCAGCCACCATCTTTACCAACGATAATCATTTCTGGAGGGTAGAAAGCAAGTGGTAAAAAGAATGAAACATCCTAAATTTTGACTGTGCCCTAATACTCTAACGAATGCAAGGTGAGCAAGTTTAGATTAATTTTTTTAAATTGGGTCATGTTCTTTTTACAATTGGCCAAAATAGTCCCTCTTCTTTTTCACACTAATTAAGTTATTAATTTTGCATTTAAAATGGATGTCTTTCCAATTTCAACAAAAGCAAAAATTGACATATGAAATTTAATTAAAGAGTTTCTGTATAGCAAAAGAAACTATCATCAGAGTGAATGGACAATCTACAGAATGGGAGAAAAATTTTGCAGTCTATTTATCTGACAAAAGTCTAATATCCAGAGTCTACAAGGAACTTAAGCAAATTTACAAGAAAAAAAAAACCCCATTAAAAAGTGGGCAAAGGACATGATCAGACGCTTCTCAAAAGAAGACATACATGCAGCCAACAAACAAGAAAAAAGCTCAACATCATTGATGACCAGAGAAATGCAAATCAAAACCACAGTGAGATACCATCTCACACCAGTCAGAACGGTGACTATTAAAAAGTCAAGAAAAAACAGATGCTGACAAGGTTGTACAGAAATAAGAACACTTTTACACTGCTGGTGGAAATGTAAATAAATTAGTTCAACCACTGTGGAAGACAGTGTGGTGATTCCTCAAAGATTTAGAAGCAGAAACACCATTTGACCTAGCAATCCCATTACTGGGTATATACCCAAAGGAATGTAAATCATTCTGTTATAAAGATACATGTACACATATGTTCATTGCAGCACTATTCACAATAGCAAAGACATGGGATCAACCCAAATGTCCATCAATGACAGACTGGATAGAGAAAATGTGATACATACACACTATGGAATACTATGCAGCCAGCAAAGGGACAAGAGCATGTGTTTTGCAGGGACATGGATGAAGCTGGAAGACATTATCCTCAGCAAACTAATGCCGGAACAGAAAACCAAACACCACATGTTCTCACTTATAAGTGGGACCTGAACAAAGAGAACACATGGATACAGGGAGGGGAACAACACACACTGGCACCTGTCAAGGGAGGGTGGGGAGAGCATCAGCAAAAATTGCTAATGCATGCCCGGCTTAATACCTAGGTGATGTGTCGACAGGTGCAGCAAACCACCATGGCACACATTTACCTATGTAACAAGCATGCACATCCTGCACATGTACCCCGGAATAAAATAAAATAAACCAAATAAAATAAATTGATGCCTTAGAATCCACCACCTGAATCAAGAATGAGAGCTCTCCACAAAACATGTCAGTGTCAATGCCTCCACCAATGCACTCAACAACCTAAATCTTTGGACTTCCCATATGCAGAATTAGATTTATCTAAACACTTGTTTCAAAGCAATTTCACACCAATGAATAGTGCTTGATACCACTTAATTCATCCATTCACAAGCCAGTTTGGCCAATTATTCATTCTTTGTAAAGAAACAGAACAATGTGCAAACTCAGAGAAACCCAGAACATGTCTGATAATGTGCATCTATGTACATCCTCCTTATACAAAAACTTGTAAGAGCCAAAATATTTGCCTTAAGAAGAAGACACTCTCAGAAACCAGTTACATCACAACCCTTATTTCCAGACATGTTTGCTACTGGCCCTTGCTTTATCCTTTTAGCTAACTGATTATTATTAACTTATGCATTTGTCCATTATTAAGATAAAATCAGTATCATTGTACATGATCTAGACTATAGCATGGATAATCATAGCACACGCACAGTTGCTCATTACCAAAGTAATAGCAGATGACGTCACTTTGTAATGGAATTTAGTGAGAACAATAGCTCTGGTTATAAAACAAATTCTTGCCACTGACCCTCTTTAAAATTAGTCTTTTATTTATATAAACTGCATCCCTTTTCAGGGATAAAGCAAGCAACCAGGAAACCAAAGACAACTCAACATAAACACGGACAACTCATACATTTGTCTACATGTTCCTCACTCTGATAGATTAAAAAACCAACATGATTCCCACTTCCTGAGCAATAGATCAGTACTGTGACTTGCTTCAGTACACATGTTATAGTTCGTCCAGGTGTGGCCATGTTTTTATTCACTTATTTCTTTTACTTGAGTTCTGCATGCATTAATTCACTTGTAATAACATAATCATTATCCATGAATCACAGAAGCACAAGAATAGGGTGACTGAATTTTTTTTTTTTTCTTGAGACAAGGTCTCACTTTGTTGCCCAGGCTGGAGTGCAGTGGCACGATCTTGGCTACTGCAACCTCCACCTCCCAGGTTCAAGCAATTCTCCTGCCTCAGCGTCCCAAGTAGCTGGGACTACAGGCACTCGCCACCACTCCCAGCTAATTTTTGTATTTTTAGTAGAGACGGGGTTTCACCATGTTGGTCAGACTGGTCTCAAACTCCTGACCTTGTGATCCACCTGCCCCAATACCGCAAAGTGCTGGGATTACAGGTTTGAGCCACCGCGCCCAGCCGATAACTGAATATTTTTAACTACTGTCTACAAGATCATTTCCAACTAAGCAGTAGACTAGGTTTCTTTTATATTGGAGCTTAAACTTCCTGACTTCTATTATTCACCATCCTTGACTCATACTCACAACCAGGCCACAGACTATCAATCTTTTTCTTCATTTAGACTTTGTCTGTTTCATTTATTTATTAATTTCATAATAAAGAAATAGAAATGAATCAGAACAAATAGGACGAGAGCTGTAATAATCCTGCTGTCTCTCTGTAGATCAGTTCCTACAGAAATTAGACCTGTTTCTTGAACTGACTTCATTGTTTCAAATATGCATTACTCAACATAATGCTTCATAACACCCCCATGTTCATTTCTGGCCCATGGTTAGTCTTCTTTGATTATATTTTCTACTTATTAATAATGCATTGACCACTCTTTCTTCTTCTTCTTTTTTTTTTTTTTTTTTTTTTTTTTT